CTGACGTTAGCAAGCAGAGTCAATGCATTTACACTGTTTTCCTTGAATTCTTATAGAAAAAATGGTGCCATCTTTCGTCAACTTTGCATGCATGCTAGCTAATTTGCCCTAGGGTAGTGTTGGTGAGATAACAAATCTGGCTATGAATTGCTTAGTTTGGCTCAGTCACTGAAGTTTTGCGCTCCAGAAATTAGTCGGCACCAGCAGCCATTGGAGCGGGTATTGAAATGGCATCGTGTGAAAGCATCTCACTCCCAAATGCACCCAACTGCGGAGCCAATCGCGAAACAAACACTACGGACACACCAAAATGATTAAACCATGTCTTACCATTGAAGGAGTGAACAAGAAATGCTTTTATTTGTGCTTCTTCAACTAAATCCACAGTGTCAAGCTTTGTCTGTTGTTAGGGAGCACTATTTTGCAGGAAGTTTTCGTTGCTGGGCCTACTGCGCATGTGCAGAGTGTTGATTCACAGGAGTCCTTTAGTTGGCGCGAGAGACACCATGGTGAGTGATGGGAGACGACAGTTGTGGCGGTATGTCAACACAGGTGAGAGAGACAGACTGCAAACGTGTTATTTGGACAGATGAACCGTCTCGTTAAATGTTGACAGGGGGCGGTGCTTCTCATAAAGACATGTTCATGTCAAACAACTTTGAGAATTTGCACAAAATAGTTAATTTGGCTAATTTTAAGCTAGCTGAGTGTCAATGGTGGAAAGTGCATTTACTCACGTTGTGTATCTATGTGCAAATTGTATGTTTACTTGAACTTCAGTTTGTAGCCTACTTCTGCTCCACAACAACTCAGGGTCAAATGTTGTACTTTTTAATGCACTACATTATTTTGACAACAATGAAATTATGATGTCATATTATTACTACTATTTTGTAGTAGTATTTTTTAAATACAGAATTTGCCATTCTGCCATTCATTGATGCTAATACCTCTAGCTAGGGCCATTTGCTTTTGGCATTTAAGTGTTTAAGTGATGAGCAGTATTGGAAAAACACTTTTTTAACATGAAACTGCTCTATTCGGTGTTTTTACTGGTGTAATTCATTGGTCCTAATTGTTCTGGAGAGGAAGAGACCACTGTGGATAATTAGGCTTCAGTTAAAAAACTCCCAAACATCTGGATCTTCAGTTATCAGAGAAAAAAGGTGCGCACACATTAGCTCGTGCTGGGCTGGCAGCTCGTCTGCGATGAGCCAGACAGTGCTAGAGAATTGCTGATTTGTAACTTAAAACTGCTTTATTCAGTTTTTAGACTTGATTAAATCACCTGGTCTGTCGTTTTGGAGGAAAAGAGATCTCTGAGGATAATTCGGCTCCCGGTATAAACCTCCTGAGTGATGAACACTGAAGGAATCCTAACCAGGAGTTCTCGCTTGGCACGTGGGAGAATTTTCAGTATGTTGCAATCTGCTGTCTTCACCACTAGATGCCACTAAATCCTACACACTGCTCCTTTAAGTTAAAGATCGGAGTATTTTTACCACTGCTGAGTTGAGTTTAAAAGTTAAGATAAATTGTCATTTTCAAATTGTTAAAAATACTTTTGAATACATTTTTTTTTATTTAGGACCAAAATGAAAGATATAAAACTGACAAAATGTCACATAAAACTCTTTAAAATGTACCAGCACATCCAGAGAGTTAAATGATAAAATGTTTAATTGTTTGGAAGGTTAATCCTAAATAGTAGAACAACAGTTAAAGAGTACAAGCAAAGCCAAAACAATGAGTCAGTTACTTGCTGAGTTGTTCAACAGAAAATTAACTTGCAACTATTTTTATAGCTGAGTAATGTTCGTCCTTTTTGAAGAAAAATGACCTGTTAGCTGTTTTCTGGTTCCAGCCAATAGCTGTGAGGATTTTCTGCTTTTCTTTGTCCTTTGTGAAAATAAACTGAATGTCTTTTTTTTGGGATGCTTGGTTGGACAAAATATTTAGATGCCACCTTGGGCTTTATCATTATTACTATTATTATTATTAATTATTATTATTATTATTATTATAATGATTCATTCATCTGGGGCATTTTTTAGACCAATTGTTAATGAAAATAATCATCACTTACCCTACTATAATGTGTAAGATTATTACCTCCGCCAAGGAGGTTATGTTTTCACCAGCGTTGGTCTGTTTGTCTGTTTGTTTGTCTGCAAAATAACTCAAAAAGTTCTGAATTTTGATGAAATTTTCAGGAAAGGTTGATAATGGGACAAGGAACAGATGATAAAATTTTGGTGGTGATCTGTTGAAGTGAAGTGGATAAAATAATAAAATGGCGGGAAATCCGAGCTGCTTGGCGGTGGTCTGCGATCTCTGAGTGCTTTTCTAGTTAGGTTAAGTAGTGAGTTATCATTAACATTAGTAGCATTGCAAAGAAAAAACAGCACACTTTCCTTGGATTTAGAGAATTTATTTGCCATTTCTGACACAGATTACACTTCAGTATTTCAGTTGATCATGTAAATTATCTTCTTTATACAGTAGCAGTGGCATGAAAATAAATATACATAAAAAATACAAAACAGAAAAGTAATGCTTCCAAATATGGAAGAACATGATCTAGAACTGTGTGTTGCCTTCATTTTTTATTTATATTTTCAGCAGGCTTGAAAATCCACTCCCTGTATGCAAACGGCTAAAATATGGAAACTCAGTGGGGCAAAACAAAGTCATGAACAATCTCTGTTCGAGTGAAGATCTTCTCTTAATAACTTAATGAACATCAGATCATAAATTACAACTTACTGCTAAATGAGATACAATGATATTCATTCTTTCTGAGTTAACACAATTTTATTGCACTTTCCAGAACCATGTTACGCAGTAGGCCAGTGGCTTAACACTGTAAGTGAAAAGCCAGCGCCTGCTCCGCCTGGTGGTTCTTTCTTCAAGTTAATGAAGCACTTTCTTTTATACAGATTACTTTCCAGAAAGGGACCAAGAGGTTCAGGGAAAAGAGATATGTACATACAGTAAATATGGATCAGGCCGCCCTGGACAGGCACAAGACATTCACAGTTCTTCTCTACATGATGCATAAATACAAAAACATTAATATCATTATATTTTTCGTCTGGAGTGTTTGCAATAAAACAGCAATCACTTAAATTTTAAAAGGAGTTTGATATACAGTATGTGCTATCATTGATGTGGGCCTGTTATTGCTGGTTGAACTCTGTATCGCACTCTCCTGATCAAAGAGAAACGTCCTTCATAAACAGCAGATATAGATAAACACAGTAACTGGTTGTAAATGAAAAATAAGTTGGAAAAAATAAAATGTATTGCTATACAGGAAATATATAATATTAATCTAGACATTTATAACTTATTTATAATATATGCAGAACTGCCTTAAAAGTAAAGAGTGAATGTTTGTAGTCATTAAAACACAGAAAACCTTTTGGTTTTGCAGTAAAATATATGTAACTTTTTTCTTCTACACAGTACGGTAAAACTTTGATCTTCAGTTGATGAGGACAAGCTGGTCAAAAAAAGTGTTTGTGTTAAAGCATACCACAGTTAACTGTTTGGTCCAAATATTAGTGTAAAATATCGAAATGCTGTTATTTCTTCGTCCCAAGCAGAGATATGAAATAAAAAGATGAAAGATACACAGATGTCTAATCCAAAGTTGCTGATGGTTAAAGCGGAACTTTTCTTGACCCTTGTTTCCTCAAGTGCAATTGAGCATTCACATGAAAATAACAATGCGTTGTGAACTTTGAAACAAGAACAGTTTTAACATACATCTGAAGAAGGCATCCACCTTAATGGCTAGTGCCCTGGTCAAATGTCCAAACAGGTGAAATGGTTTTGTGGTTTTCTGATAAAGCCAGCTCTTCCCGTCCAAACTGCCTTTCGAACCTCAGGCACTTCTCTTCATGTCACTTCACCAGTAGCTGTGACAGTGATGTTTTATGACCCCAGAGTGCATCCACTGTTGGCACATGTAATGTAGTATCAGATGGTTGAGGCAGAAGAGTAGGGCCAGTGGTGTGGTAACATGAGAGTCCCCATCTGTACACTTTTTATGCACAAGATCCTTCAAGATCTACCCCCCCCCCCTGGAATTCATGTCCTTTCTGTCAGTTAGATCCTCTAATCAGGCTCTGTAATGTCTCCCCAGTCAGGCTGCTCCAGTGTGGTCCCTCTGTCAAAATAAGACTCTCAACCCAGAGCTTGTGTCCTGTTTGTTGTGAGCTCCCGAGATGTTCACATGAAGGAGTGTTCTGCTGGAGGCCCGTAAGAGAAGCCTGGAAAAGCTCCGGCTGCTTCCTTGACGCTGCTGGTCACAGTCAGGGTGTCGTTGCACAGAGAGGAGGACACGGGCAGGTGGGTGAACTCGGGGTCAAAGTGTCGGAGGTCTGTGGGGCCAGTCTGTGAAAACCAGGAAGAACAGGAATTAGATGTGTAATGTAGTGTTGTCAAAAATACTGATTTAGCAATACACATAAATTCAGAATATTTAAAACCGTTCAAACATTTTCAGCAGTATTGATAGACCATAGCAGCTGTGTTGTCTCACTCTATCTCTTTGTTAATGTTTATTACAGTCATTCTGCTGTTCCCTTTTACAGTCTATTTTTTAGGGCTGGGCAATAAATTGATATATATGAATATAATGATCTTTTACATTTTATTTTCTTCACTCAGAAACCAATTTGACAATCAATTCTTAAGTTTTAGGCATTTTTTTGCATATAAATGGCAATAATTAAACTGGTTGTAGCTTTTCAAATGTTTATATTTTCTGGTTTTCTTTGGCTGAAATGATACAAATCTGAATATCATTGGGTTTTGGACTGCTGGTCAGACAAAACAAGACTTTCGAAGACATCACAATTGGCTTTGAGAAACTGTAACGGGCATTTTTCACTACTGGCAAGACATTTAATGGGACAAACAGTTAATCATGAGGGTACATTACTTGTAGCTGTGTGTAATTGTAAATTGAATATTTTTGTTTTTGTAGAGTTGGTTTGACTGATTTTCACTGCTTTATGACATTATATAGACAAGATTATAATGAAAAACTATTAGTACCACCGGAATTCGTGGGGGCAGTGTAGCATAGTTCAACTGAAACACGACTAGAGGACACAACGAAGACATTTTATAAATGGCGCAAAAGAATGAATCAGTAATAAAGTGAAAAGAATTGTCAGAGACTTTTGACCCTGCCCTCTAGTGTAGTCTAGTGGATCTATCTATGCCAACATAAAGGATGCTTGTATGTTTCAAATGTGCTATTTTCGTATGTAAAGGGGGAAAAAAAGAGCCTTTAGTTTGAACTTACCACTGCAGGGACGAATGGAGGCGTGATCTTCTTCGCCATCAGGTCCTCCCAGTTGATTGGAGAGAAGAAGGAATGGTACTTGAGTTCAAGCTGGAAGGAAAAGGAAATTCTGAATTAGC